ACAATATCGTTTGATATATAGTCATTATATCTTGTTTTGTGTCAAAAAATTTCGTACAAATTAGTTTGAAAGAGAAGAAACCAGGCCCACATCCCATTTTTGAAGGTCTCTACCAAACAAAAATCCAAATATCTATAACTTATGATTTTCCAATATAGTACAATATTATAATAAAAATTCCAATTGAATTTGCAAGCAATAATTAAACACAAATGGCAACCCTATATGCAATTGCTATGTACGCACTTACCTATAGCCACTTGAACGACTCAACGCGACTTCAGAAACTAATTAAAGTTACTTACTCCGCATGATTTAACTAATCTGCGTTCAAAGTTATCTACCGAGTGAGTGCAACTGCCAGTCCCAGCAACCGGAGTCGTCCATACGGCTACACATACACAAGTATATACAAGTAGCTAGGTATGCAATAGCTGATATTGATTGTTTGAAAGTATGACTTGAAATAGCGGCCACAATATTTTCATTTGGCATTGTGATTTATTCCATTAATCATTGACAAATATTTTAGAAATATATAATCATACGTACACACATACCTACACACATGTACCTGCATATGTACAGTATGCATACTAGTATAAGAATATTAAGTAAATACCAAGTCGTCCGCTGCCTTCATGCCTTCACTATTAGTGGCTGAAAAAGGACGTGTACTGTGGGTCAAGTGGAACTGCCGTAATTTTTTTTTGTAAATATAATACAATATACATATATCATATAATATGTTAAGACATTAAAACATGCAACTCTGTTTATTAAATGTTAAATGCTTATTATATAAAAAAGATATGTTCTGGTAAGAATTTTTGCACTGAGAGTTAAATTGGGGTAAAAATCAAAAAATATAACACCAAAAGAGCACTATTATAATTGGCTCTCATTAGATAGGCATACAATTTTCAATAGACTATTGAGACGTAGAACTCTCTGTTCTTGTTAATAGCTATGATAATGTATTTTGAGAGTTCAATTTCAATTGTTTCTATATCTATTTAAGAGTCGATAGGTTCTCCCTCAAGATTTAAAAATATTTCTTCATTCGAATAAGATCGATGAATGAAATCTGTTGAAAGGGTACTATAAGAAACCTATCGGATAGGACTTTGTAAGAACCTTAAACGTTTTTAAAGGATTCAGTTGAAGTTATTTATCTGAATTAATGAAAGTTTCTTTTAAATAGACTCATTATTTTTTTGAACTGGACTCCCCGGAACTATGAACTACAATATGTTTTCGTTTTTCCACAAAAAAGTCGTATGTATAAAGATTACCCAATCTGGAAAATATGTAGATCGTTGACCAAGGGCAGATAATGTTATTGAAGGACCTGATGATTAAAATACTTGATTTAATTTAGCTTCTTCTAAGCAATTCTAAACAATTTCTCCGAAGATTGTACTATTGGCTTAATAAATAACCCATGCCAAATTTAGTGAAGAAGTGGACGAGGACTGTTTTAAATTTCAGATCGAAATCTCAAATGACTAAGGAACTAGTTCGCGTGTATACAGACATACAGATGGACATGGCTAAATCGACTCAGATTGTCAAGCTGATCATTTATAAATATATGTATATACTTTATAGGGTCTCCGACGTTTCTTTTTGGGTGTTACAAACATCTTGGCAAACTAAATATACCCCAGGGTGTTATAATACCGTGTGGAAATAAAAATAATAGTTTTTAAAGAAATTGTTATAAATTAAATATCATGACGGCATTGCCACCTGATAACATTATACAAATTCACAGCAAAATCTGTTTACAAAAAAACTTTTCAGAAACTTGCTTTTCAGTATAAGATTAAATATAGTTAGAAAATACTAATGTTAACAAAATTTAATTTGAATATTTGAAAAAACTGTTATTTTTTAACTTAAATATCATGGGATAAAATATATTTATCGCATTATTGTCTTCCAAAAGCTTAATTAATTGATTACTCCGACGCACCTAAAATAATAGATATTAAATTTGTAGTAAGTTTCCAACAAATATGCAATGTTATGTATGTGGTGGACTTATAGATTTTGAAACTCAATTAAATAGTATTTGAAACAAAAAGGTAAATTTGAAACCAGTTTCATACTACACTAACAACTGGTAAACTACCAACCTACACCCTGACTGGATAAATATGCTATAAAATCAAAAAATTATTCTTTTCATATGAAAATAGCATTAGTTTTAATTTCTTGAAAATTTATTTGAACCGTAACATTGAAAAAAATATTTAAAATTGTAAATATATATTGAAAAAAAATTTTCCCATACCGGGAATCGAACCCGGGCCTTCCGGGTGAGAGCCGGATATCCTAACCACTAGACAATATGGGATACTTATTACCAACACACAATGTGCTACATCAAGCATATTCGGAACGTATTAAAGTATGATTATTGTATAAGTGAATATCAGTATGTATGTACGACTATATATAGGTATGTGTGAGTGTTAGCAAATTGTTTTTAAAAATAAATTATTTTTTCTTTTTATTTCTTTTACTTGCAGCACAAAGTCAGAAAGTGGCGGCAACAGAACGTAGCCAGTGAGCAAACACTTGTGTTACATTTGTGCATGCATACATGCATGTGTGTGTGTGTGTGTGGCCAGAAAACAGCTCTACCTGCACGCCAAATGATATGCGATTAATGACGCTTTAAAACAAATAAACAAAGCAAAAAGCAAATAAATAATAAAGACCATAAAAAATAAGTTGAAAGCAGTTGTTGGACGATAGCTGCATATGTTTATGTGTACGTGCCGTGAAATGAGCACAATTAATGCGCGACTCCCACGCCTGCGCAGTGAATGAGCGTTAACAAAGCCAAAACTGGCGACAGTCATGCGTGGCGCATATTCCGCGAAACAATCAGGCTCATCAGATGCCACCGATTGCACCGCCAATGTCTTACCAATGTCACACCCAGCTGTTGGCAACAAAAACAACAACAACGTCGTCCATGTTTGGTGGAAATTGCACCCTATTGTAAATATATGGACATGTGCCAATATGTGTGTATGTATGCATGTAGGCCTATTTGTGTGCTATCTCTTTGCATCGGTGCATTCAAGCGCCGCGCTTTATGAATAATGCAAATTTCTCTTGGTTCCCGGCGTAAATACAATGCATGCACATGTTTATAGCAATAAAAAAAATAAAAGTTTAAAAATTTGCATTTGTATATGTGCAGCGCTGACCAACTACATATGTACGTAGCTATGTACATACAGTTATGGTCAAAACAATAGGGCCATTCATTTAACTAAATAAACGTCAATAAAAAACAATTATTAATTCATATAATACATTCATTTTAGTCTTTATTACAAATGAGAAAGAAATCTTTAACTGTAACTAAGAAAAAAAACTTTTCACATATCTTATAAAAATTATAATATTTTTGCTTTTTAAAATTTCGTTAGACACTTTATTCCGTTCGTTCAGTTTGTATAGCAGCTATATGCTATAGTGGTTCGATATCAGCCGTTCCAACATATAGGTGTTCTCAATCTATCTAATATCTCATAAACTGACTAGGACTAGTTCGCATATTTACAGACGGACAGACGAATATGACTTAATGGACTCAGCTCGTCACGCAGATCATTTATATATATATCCTTTATAGGGCTCCTGACGTTTCCTTTGGGTGTTAGCGTATCGTAACAAACCCAGTTTACCGCTCATGTTTGGGCTAGGCGCTTTGTGTTCTTGTTCGTAATAGGTCCTAAAATTATTTCCATGTTTACAATTGCGCTCGGTTTCAAATGCATATTTATAATATGTTCCGATATTTGAATTTTATTATATATTTTGTGTATATAATATGCAAATACCTTATGTATGCAAATATTCATAAAATAATATAAATCTTTTAGAAAAAAATTAGCTGATCAGAAATACTTTTTTGCACCGCGTTCATGAAGCGTACAAGACTTTGAGAATATGATATGAAGGGAAATGCAGAAAAGTGTCTGACTCAAGTTGTCGGAATCGAGTGACGTGACTTTTTTTTTTTGGAATGCGGTTTAATGCGCAATGAGACATTAATAATGAGGGTTTTCGAGCAATCAATTATTCCAACAATCTTAAATTAACTGCTTATAACACAAATCCAAGACTAAAATATACTTATATGATTGTTTTGTTGTTGAAAATAAGAATAAAATTCTAATTAACGCCATTACAGTTTTGATTAATTTTTAGCATTTATTTATTTTACCGTTTGCTTTGAGTGTTACTGAAGAAGTGCCTTTGAGAACTGTTACTACTACTAATAACATTCACTAAGCACTCAATAGCTCCGGAGACTCCCAAAAGTTAATTATATTTATACTTCAAAAAAGTGACACTATTATTTTGTCTATAACTGTATGTACTTGCATACGTGCCTTTGGACGCGCCGTACTGGCGGCCGGCAAAATTACGCTTTTACAAGGTGCCAAGTGTGCGATTTCGTGCAATTCCTGTGCGTTGTTGTTTCTGTCTTTCGGTAGTGACAAAAGTGGGTCACAATTGGCGGCGCGCGTTAGCGGCGTTGGCGGACCTAGCGCGACGCGCTGCTTGCTAAAAACAAAAGCTTGTAAATGAAAAAGGAATTTCGCGCCAATGAAATGTGTGAACAAAAAAAAATAATTTAAATAAAAAATAAGCTAATAAAAATAATTAAAAAATCACGACACAGTAATTAATAAAATAAAAATAATATAAAAATTGAAGTGCGAAGGCTTTGAGTGCTAATTTATGTTAGCAACCCATATTTGGTGCTATGAGTCTTGCACTGCCAATGACACAACGGCGCACAAACAAATGAAAAAAGGAATAATATTATATGTAATTAATTTCGCAATCTGCGGCTACTAAAATTGTTAGAAGCGCGAAAGCGACGCGGATTAAAGAGTGCAGCACGTTGAAGCACAAAATATAGCGAGAAAGCGACATAAATTAAATTATTATTTTCTTTCTTTCAAGCAGCAAAAATAAAATATTAACACAAAAAAAAGTGATTTTGCAAACAAATTTATATCAAACAATTATAATTATAAAAAGCACGCGCTTGTGTACGCGTAGAACTTGTAAGAAAAACAGAAGTGTCGAAAATTCATTCATAAAATCAACGCTGAGCGCGGCGCTCTTTACGCACCTAGCAAGCGCTCTCAGCAGCGCTCATTTTCGAGCAAACTAAAAACGCAAACAAACAACGCTCCCACTCAGAAATTCTCCACGCCCTTGACTTACGAAGATGCAGACCTCACAACTGGTCACACCAGGTGCGGCGGCAGGAACGACGCCAAATACTAACCATCATCACCTAAACAACAACAACAATAATAGCTATCATTACAATCCACATTTCCACAACACAAGCCACAGCAGTAACAACAACAATCACCATACTATGAGTTATACACCACACGAGCAAACCAACACATTCAACAATACTCAACCAACTCACCACCACCACAATTCCGCCACAGCCACGAACACCACCACAACGAATAGCAACACACCAATAGCAGCGCACAAGTATGCGCCTGCACGTAGGCTAGCCGCACGTCAGACGCTACGCTTGCAAATACCCAAACAACAGGGTGACTCGTGTGGTGCGCCTTCAACATATTACAAACATTCACCATCACAGCTGCCGCCTGCGCCAATACTGAAACGCCATCAAACGCCGACACCAACATCGGCCACACATCAATACCACTCGTCAGCGAATGCGTTCCCGAAATCCGCTTCGCCGCTGGAGTCGCATAAACTGCCGAATGTGGTGTGCAGCAGCGCCTCACCGTCATCGCAGTTGTCTTCCGGCTCCTCGCTGTACTACAATGGCAGCAATGGTGGCCTGTCGATACAGACAGCCACCGCCACACCATCGTGTGGCACAAACAAGTTTCTTCACTTACGTAAACCGAGTATTACCTTGAATACGGCGGATGTGCGCAATAATAACGGCAATAGCACTGGCAGTATTGGTAGCTGTGGCAGTGATTTATTTAGCTTCGCTAAGGAACTGTCGCCTTCGATGGACATGAGTGGTGAGTTATATCAATGATTATTGAGCTGAGAAGAACGAAACTACTTTTTCATTAAATTAGGGCACGATTAAAAGAACCAGAAGGAGCATAAACTCTCCTAGGATGGCCTGCGCCAAACAGTTTGAACCTTGTTTACAGAGGCAAAATATAAACTTCAAGCTTTGGTGGCCTTAATTAGAATTTTACATTGAGTTTCGTGGTTTAAATCCGAAGAAGTTCGGCCTTTTTTCATAAGAAAAGAGCTCCCCTTGAGTTTGTCTTTAGATAAGAAATGTTCCGTAAATTAGAATTTCTTAAGAATATATTGCTAATCATCTAGGGTTAAGACAAAACGGTTTTCTGTCAGAAAAACCAAATCACATACCCTGCTCTAAATACTAGTATATAACCGAATCGGTCTTCCGATTCAGTCTTTTCTTTGGTCAAGTGCTGTACACCGGTTTTCTGAGAAAACTAGTTCGGAATTCTTTATTAAGCTACAACAACAATATTAACCAAATAAGACTCTAGCAAAAGCTTTCTAAGGCTTCCCAAATATAAGTAATCGTTTATTGCGTGTGTAGTGTGTTTAATCTCTGAAGATTTTGGTTAGTATATGCTAGTCTCTCAACAGACAATCGCATAATATACGCACATAAAAAACGAAAACCCTCAAGATAGAGGAAGGGTCCTCGTGGTCGCAGTTCTTTTATAAATGAAGCCAATGTTATTTTTCTCCTTAAAATAATAAGGAAAGTTTCTTTCTACACAATAGTCTGCCTCTTATAGTCCTCAATAGCTACCAGCTCGGCATATTCTGAAGTTCATAATATGCCCTCTACAACTCACTCCATTCATTAAGGCAGTTTCGACGCTTGGCTTCCCTCAAAGAAAATTTTAAATGAAATACATTGTAATATAGAAATTTCTTTATCTATTTGTCTTGTTGTGCAAAAGACTTCTTCACGTATTTGACAAATTGTTTTATTAATTATAACTAAGAAAAAAAAATCTGAAAAAAATATTTTTCGCAGATCACTCACCGATTTTTGCCGAAATCGCCTCATCAATATCACCTTCAACAAGTTCTGGGTGTTCTCCAACACATCATATTAATCGGCTCTTCAGTTTAAGTCCATCAACCATACGGAGTTATGGCAATGTAAGTAATCTTTATTAATTTATTATAGTAGACTTACATATTTTTAATTTATTTAATGCCAGTTTGGGGAACAAAATGCATTAAATAAATATTGTATTCAATGAAGATCTATAATAGATCTTCTAAAAATCTACTATCGTGTTCTACCAAAACACACGGTAGAAAATGTGTATATATTAACTTTAATTATATTAACGATTTTATGATCTTACAGTCATTAATCGCTCTCGCCTAATCCAAAAACTCTATCTTGCGTTTAATTTAAGATCGGTGTTTTTCCAAAAAACCATTTAGGTAACTATTATTCGTTTACACTATCTTCTCCTTATTATTTGTAAAGAGTTCATCGTATAATAATAACCCAAGTTAGGGACTCTTGTAACTAAATGGACGTCATCTTCAAAAAAACTGAAGATAAAAAAAATATCCACTTTCCACAAATTTCAGACTAGTTTGCGTATATACTGACAGACAGACGGAAAGATAGACCGACAGAAGGATGTGGCTAAATCAACTGAGTTCGACTCGTTTTTTATACTCTTGCAACATGTTGCTGCATAGTATAATAGTTTTGTTCACCTAACGGTTGTTTGTATCACGTAAAACTAATCGAGATAAATATAGTGTTATATACATATATATAAATTATCATGATGACAAGACGAGTTGAATTCCGATAACAGTTTGTTTGGTTGAAAGAATCACCACTAAAGAACTCGGAAAACTAAATTGTATAGTTTTCAAACTTTTGTTGTAGATATAATGTTTTCTTTAAGTTATTGCGCATATTTTATTAAGGAACAATTTTTTAGCTGACCTAAGTTAATTTAAAATTATAAAATTAAATTTTTAAAAATTGTAACGAATCTCTGCATAGATTTGGACAAAAGTTTAGTTTAAATACATGGCCAATCTAGCTTGATTTCAACTAAAGACTTCACTGCCTCCATAAAATTTTAATTTATTAGTATATTACTTATATATTAAAAACTTATTGTTATATTTACTTTGTCGTTTAGATAACAATAGCTCATATTATTAAGTATTTTAATTTTAATAATTTAATCATGTTATAATGAAGTAATAAATTAAACACAACAACAACTATAATAACAAAGACAAACAACCGCGGTATGCAACGACTCATTAAAGGTCATGACTTTGCATACATTATAATAACTAAAAGACTTAATTAATGTGACTGACTGCCAAGCACATGAAAAGCAGCACACACACGCACACACATACACAAACAATAAATATAATACTATGCGCTTTAGAATACAAATAGAATAGAAATTACAATGCGAATAGAAGTAGAATGGCGCAAAAAAGAATAAATAATAAGCAAATAGCGGAATATCACAAATAAAATAGGCAAGCGAACAAGCCCAGCGAAAAACAAACAGAAGAAATATTGAATGAAGGAAAAAAAAAACGGGACAAGCCACACACTATGAGTAACAGGCGTGTTCGCGTGAGTGTGTGCGCCAACACCTGTAAATAAATGTAAAAATACACGATAATCAAGCCATTAAACCATAATTCACGATTCAACTGATCAGGTTTGAACACACACACACCCCCAAACATACACATTTCCACGTGTTTAACGAAAGCTCGCAGCGCTCCGTCGACACCTTCGTACAACAGCACGACGATGATGAAGTTCACCTCAGGCGCTAATGTTCATGTTAGTTGGAGCTAATCATTAAATTGACATTACTAATGACAATTTCGTTGGTGTCGACCGCACGCACTGGAATGCCACGACACACCCTACACGGTCGCCATAAGGGCTACAGGGCGTATGCGGCTGTTTAATGGCAGTGCGGAGAAATATGAATGTGTGCATGTGGTGTTGGGTTAAGTACATCAAGCCTGCGTGTGTGACAACTTCTTTCACATATGTATTTATTGTTGTTGTGCGGCTTGTTAGTATTGCTTGCTTTTGAAAAAATTTGAATTTCCTTGAGTTCGCGAGTCGGCGGCGAAGTAGCGCAGTTGAGGTGCTAATTTTGTGGTTTTGGTGGCGAACATCTCTAAAGAGAAAGTGCAAAACCACGACGTTTTGGTGTTGAGAATGCGGTTTGAATTGTTATTATGGATCAGAGCGAGTTATTCATGGAAATTACTTTTGAAGTGAACTTTTTTAGACGCGGTAGGTGGTAAAATTGATCGACTGCAATGAGATTTCGTTACGCTCGAAGTATACAGCATCAACATTTTTTGAAAAGGGTTACAATTAATAAAAAAAAAAAATTAAAGTTGAAAGAATTATTGCGAAACAGTTAAAAAAATAAAGAAAGTTGAAAGAAAAAAAAAATTGAGAAGTGCTGCCAGCTATATACATACATACATTTTTTATTCAGTGAAATTGAGAAAAGTATTGAATGATTATCTACAACATGGTTATCTCAAAAATCTTTAAAAACAATCCAGCATGTGTTTCAAACTGTAAAGACTAGCAATGGAGAATATTTTTGTAAAGGGTTGCCACCTGTATGTTTTTTTAAATGAAATTAAAAATAGTAAAGAAAATTTAATAATATCGATATAAAACTTGAAAGGTTTAAAATGTGTGAAAAAGTTGCCACCTATTTAATATTTTATTCAATCAGAGTGATAAATTAAAGGATGTTTTACAGATTACAAAAAGAGTTTTGATGGAAATATTTTTGAGTATAGCTCCCATTGAAGTAGAGAAAGCGTGCCATCTGTATGTTTTGTTAATTTAAATTACTCAAAAAATCAAACTAAACTCATGCATATGTATGTTAGAAATATTTTTTAATGGTTGCCACCTGTTTAGTTTTTTTTAAATTATAATAAAATTGTTAAAGAAGAAATTTGTCATAAGGAGTTTTATTGGAGATATTTTAAGAAGGGTTACCAACTTGAAAACAAATTAGTTGATAAAATAAATTCAAAATCACAAGATTGTTAACTATATATATAATAATTTTTTATGATAAAATCCATTTTTTGATTCCCTTGAACCCTTAGCCGAGCTCCAGGAGAACTTCAGAAAAAAGGTGTCTGGTGGTGAGAAAGATTTGTTTGCTTAAAATTATCTTAAATCTAATAACCAAAAAGTTTTTTTATTGGTCTAAACGAATACAGGTAGTGATCGAAGGACAAGTTAAAAATTTGATGTTTGACAAAATGGCTTACCAACAAAAGCCATTTTTGAAAAAAACATTTAATATCAAAATGGCACTAAAAAATCAAAACTATTATGAAAAATCTGATTCCTTAAGTTATTATTCTACAAAAATATCTAAGCAGGTCGTGCGAAAATTTAAAGTCAATTGATCCAGCCGTTTGGATAATTCTTCCTCACTGACTCTGAAACAGTGAGAGAGATTTCGAGAAAGAAGCGTTTATAGTTTTTTTATTCGATTACACTAAGTTAAAAAATTCTAACAAATACGCTCATATCTTCGAAAATACAATATGCTCAAATTAACATGTGTACATTCGATATATGTACATATACACATATATTGTATATGCAAAAAAAAAAGGAATTTTTGAAATTAAAAAGTGGATATAATTTTTTAAGCTTATCTAGTAAATTTAATGTGAGCTTTTTCATTTTAAAGGTCTTTTTCAGCTTTTATTTTGACTGCCGAATATCTTTTGTTTTATATTTTAATATCTTTAAGCTAAGGGGAAGAACGTAGTTACAAAGTAATATTTGATTTCAATTAATTTTATACGAAGTTTTTTTTTTGACTGTAGGCATATATGTATACTAGGACGGTTCAAAAAAATTTTCTTTTTTCACTTGCTACTTTAAAAAATAGGTTCTTAGACACCTCTAAGAAAATCTCTCCAAGCATGAGCTCTTAATTGTGACGGGAAGGTCCTACACCTTACAGTTTTCTATTTTGTTCTTATTATCAAATAGAAAAATTCAAATCTCGCTTCCAACCACATAAAAACATATGATTTTTTGTTAATAATAATTAAACGGCTGAAGTTTGATTATTTTAAGGCAAATTGTTTTTCTTATGAATTTTATAACTCAATGAAAAAAATCATTACAGATCGGAAAACTCGAAAATGGTCTCTTGTAACAAGCGATTAAAAATCGTTTTTTTGATCTACCCTAATGTATATACCTACAAGTATGGTGTGATAATCCGAGAAGGGACATATTACTGAATCGATGCTTTTTACCGCTCCGCCCGAGGGATGGTATCTCTTAACTTTATTTGACCTCACAGAAAGAGAACTATTATAAACTATATTATTCAGAATGTTTTATAGATGTTTATTCGAACTGCTCATTTCATTACCCATATATACATATGTGCCATAACTGTTATTTAACTTCCGAAGAGATAAGTCAATATAAAACAATTTCAATTTTATAGAGTGCTCTGTAGTTTTTACTCGGCGACGATTTGATCGTACCATGCGTTGTCAGCTTCAATATTCTAAATGTAGAGCCGTTCTCTTTTCAAGAAGTAGAAACAAATACTAAAACTCGACTATATTTCTGAGTTCAACGAAATGGTGTGAACAACAGCCATATTGCGAAAAGATTCCGAAAACTACTAGATCCCAAATAGAAAAAGAACCTAGCTAATGGACGATAAATTTTAAATGCTGCTGTGTAAAAAATTCAGCCATCGATAGTACAAAATATTAAACTAGAATTCTTAAAATTAGAAAAAGAGATCGCTAGAGCTCCAAGAAAAAAATAAGAAGAATATATGAGGAAAATCTCAATATATTTAATTTACATGGGCGTGAATGGGTTAGAGGTATAAAATATGGGACTATTTACAAATAATATTTATAATATAACCTTAATGGCTCTGAATGGATTTAAGATAAACTTAACTACAATACTTGTGAAAAGTTTTTGAAATAGTTCCTAGGACGTGCAGTTCGGTGAATTATATTTTATACTATACATTGCGAGTAGTTTACTGAACAAACTCAATATGACGGTAACATCAAAAAGATATCAGTATACGCGTCGATTTGATTTCAGGACAAACTTTTTTATGTACAATGTTTGTCAAGAAATTGCCCAGACTACAACGAAATATATTTTTAACTTCCCGCTAAGAAAATTGAAAATTTTCTAAAAATCGGGAAGATATTGTTTCACCCCATTTGCAAAATCGAGTTCTCAACAGATCTCGACGTTTTGAGGGTCGAGGAAGCTTCCCCGAACATTTCTACGATGATGTCCGTATGTCTGTATGTATGTGTGGA